TAATGAAATTCTGTGCCAGAGATTGAATGTCAGCATTGTATTTCCTGATCTGCGATCAGAAAATACAAAAACATAAGATGGCAAAAAAGATGTTTTGAGTTACATCCAAATCGTGAATTTCTATTTAAAAAAAAAGGTGAAACAAATATTTCTAATGTTCTGGCAACTAGGAACTGATATCGTTCTGAAAAAAGCTCACCTTCAATTTTGAAACGAAAATAATCGTATTGTCCGATACTACTAGCTGACGGATAATCTGCTTCGATACCAGTACATAAGTTTTAATAGACAAAAATGATAAAATTAAACAACAGAACAAGTCACATCATACTTTTATTCTTGCTTATCATATACTGAATATTATTATAAACACTGCATACTATACATGTATACATAATTATGCATTATTTATGGCTTAATAGCATAGTCTTTCTGGCTAATTAGTAATTTTTATCAATCTGCACATGTAAAAAGGTACATAATAAGTTCAGTTAATGACTATGATAAAAGGTATCTTACATTAGATATGTATAAGTACATTACTTCGACGGTTTACAGGTTTTATGAATTTTTAAACATATTTCCTTGTCACCATAATCCTAATTTATAATGATATATTGATAAATATTGGCTCCAAATTAGCGGAAAGCTCTGAAATTAGAAATTAGTTAAGTTATATAATTATAGGAAATAATATAATTTATAAAGCTGTAAGTTGGAGGGGAGTGGCTTACAAATTGATCATCATCATGTGTCACCATCTTTATTTGTACATATTAATTCCTCTATGCTGTATTGTCATAGATGTATACTTTATATTGATTTTTGTATATATGAATTATATTGAAACAAAACAGTCTGCCATGCAGTATATTTACATAAAAGTTTGTGAAATTTGAACATATGTTCATTTGTCTGGTTTTGAAATACAATGGACAATTAAAAGCTGTGTTGGCGTATCAAGTTTTCCTGCCTATATTGATTGTTGATGTTTTCAGTTTAGTCGCACAGGTTCATTAACTACAGCAAATTTGTGACAATTATTCTTGCAGAATATTCAAACCTTTTTCAAATAGTGTGTTAATGATGGAAAACATTTGCATATATGGAAATAAGACTGACAGATGAGTGTGTCATTATACTAAGCTTTATTCTAGTTTTCATTAGAAGCCTTAACATAATCACATTTGAATGTGAATATATTTCTAGTTATATAGCTTTTACTTAATGTAACATGTAAAAAGTGAGATAAGTTACATGATGTTGATATTATTAATAACTTCGTTCTTTCATTGATTGTCAAAGAAAATATAATATACTATGCCACTTCAAGACAACTTTTTTTACATACTGTACATAATGTACCTAATAAACTTGTGGGATGCAATATTCCAGACATTGCTCATTCAAGGATCTAGATATAAATAATTGAAAAACAGATGTACTTTACAACATGTTTGCAGGATAGGCTCTCTTCCTTTCCATCACTTTAGTTTTGGATTCTGGTCAGAATTTATTACCTAAGACATTTTATGATTATCTGCAATAATAGAGAAACACTGACAGAACTTTGCCAATAAAAAAGGAGTATTCATGGTTATAACTTATTCCCAATATCTGTTAAATTACAACAGTATTTAAGTATTAGTTCCTAAAGTTTTGTAATATAAAGATTTTTATTTTGAATGACTGACAAGTAATTAAGGAAGTTCAATTTGATAAAAGACAATAATGGAAATAAAACAAGTGACTAATTAGTATAATTATGTGGGCAGGAGAAAGTGAATGTTAAAGTCAGGCATTTTCTATATGCAGACAGACACGGAAGTTGCAAGAAAAAAAAGTTTGTATATCTTAAAGGAGGAATTAAAGTTTCATAGCTCTTTAGACTTTTTCTGTTAAATGTGCTAGCTTTAAAAAAAGCCTTTTGATATTTTTACTTAAGTGTTCACACAGGATATATAGATTTATCTCATCAAGGTGAAAGTGTGTTTTATAAACTAATTTCTTTGGATATAAGAAGTAAAATATATTTACCGGTATAATTATATTTATTTACATTATTCATTATTTGTACCGAAAACAATTAAGTTAAAGCTTTTTAGCTCACCTGAGCTTGCTCAGGGTGAGCTTTTAGGATCGATGAATGTCCGTCGTCCGTCGTCCGTCCGGCCGTCCACAATTGCTTGTGAACACTCTAGCGGTCGCATTTTTGCCTCAATCATCATCAAACTTGGTCAGGATGCTTATCTAGTTGAAAGCTCAGATGAGTTCGAACATGGGTCATTTCAGATGAAAAAATAGTTCACAGGAGCTTAAAATATAAAAATATTGTGAACACTCTAGAGGTCACATTTTTGACCCAATCTTAATCAAACTTGGTCAGGATGTTTGTCTAGGTGATAGCTCGGATGAGTTCGAACATGGGTCATCTCGGATGAAAAAGTAGGTCACAGGAGCTATAAATAGAAAAACCTTGTGAACACTCTAGTGGTCACATTTTTGAACCAATCATCATCAAACTTGGTCAGAATGCTTGTCTAGTCAATTGCTTGGATGAGTTCGAACATGGGTCATCTCTGATGAAAAACTAGGTCACAGGAGCTAAAAATAGAAAAAACCTTGTGACCACTCTAGTGGTCACATTTTTGACCCAATCATCATCAAACTTTGTCAGGATGCTTGTTTTAGATAATAGCTCGGATGAGTTCGAATATGGGTCATCTCGGATGAAAAACTAGGTCACCGGAGCTATAAATAGAAAAACCTTGTTAACACTCTAGCGGTCACATTTTTTGCATCAATCATCATCAAACTTGGTCAGGATGCTTATCTAGTTGATAGCTTGGATGAGTTCGAACATGGGTCATCTCGGATGAAAAAGTAGGTCACCGGAGCTAAAAATAGAAAAACCTTGTTAACACTTTAGCGGTCACATTTTTGCATCAATCATCATCAAAACTTGATCAAGATGCTTGTCTAGGTAATAACTCGGATGAGTTCGAACATGGGTCATCTCGGATGAAAAAACTAGGTCACAGGAGCTAAAAATAGAAAACCTTGTTAACACTCTAGTGGTCACAATTTTGACTCAATTGTCATCAAACTTGGTCAGGAAACTTGTCTAGGTCATTGCTGGGAATAATCGAACATGGGAATCTCGGATGAAAACTAGGTCACAGGAGCTAAAAATAGAAAAATCTTGTTAACACTCTAGTGGCTACTGTTGTGATCCAAAATATTCTGTTAAATTGGTCTGAAAGTTTGTTTTGATGATTTCTTAGTCAAGATCGAACATGGGTCATCTTGGATGAAAAACTAGGTCACACCGCCCAAATATGGAAAAACCTTGTTAACATTCTAGTGGTCACATTTTTCACTCCATTATCATCAAACTTGGTCAGAATGCTTGTCTAGGTAATTGCTTGGATGAGTTCGAAATCGCATGTGAAACTAGGTCACCAGAGCTAAAAATAGAAAAATCTTGTTAACACTCTAGTTGCTACTGTTTTGATCCAAGTATCCTGGAAATTGGTCTGAAAGTTTGTTTTGATGATTTCCAGGTCAAGTTTGAATATGTGTCACCTGGGTAAAAAACTAGGTCGCACTGCTCAAATATGGATAATCCTTGTTAACACTGTAGTGGTCACATTTTTGACTCACCTGTCATGAGACTTGGTCAGAATGCTTGTCTAGGTAATTGTTTGGATGAGTTTGATAATTCAGGTGAGCGATCTAGGGCCATCATGGCCCTCTTGTTTTTTATTTGAATATGGTAATTGCTGCAGGATTTTTATTGGGGTTTTCTCTGGTGCCATTTTTTTCTATCACTAAATATATTTTGAAAAAGGTCAATGATTTGTTTTAAGATAATTTATATGAGGTTAGAAAGCAGGATTTTGTAGAAGAAATGTTTCTGAGATTGCTAATAAAGCTAAAATAAACCATTTCAAAACATCCATATCAAATCCATATCTCACCCCTTATAGCTTTGTTTTCATTTTGAGTCCGAAAGGTTAGCCAAAAGGTTAGACGTCTGGTTATCTCAGTAGGTAGAGGCGACCACCACAAGTCCAAAAGGTTCATATCAAATCTATGTTGCACCCCATCTTGCCTCATTTCCATTTTTGAGAGTCCTAAATCATATCATGTCCTTATTGTAATTGAAGTAACAAAGTTTTTGTCAAAGTGTCAAAAAAATGGTTTGTGTGAAATAAAGAGGTCATTAAAACATGATTGAGAAAAATACCTGATTCTCTTGGACTCTAACAATGTTATTTTGTTAGATACTATGATCAAGACTTTGTTACTGTTGCTGTTTACCTAATGTTTTTTTTGCAATGAAGCCAGCTTTAGATTCTTGTCAGTTTGCTGCCAGGGGTTTTAACTGTTTGTGTTTCCTATAACATTCCTTCCTGAATATATTGGAAATCAACTCTCTGATTTTCTTTAGAAACATTCTAAAAAATTCATTGACTTGGTATATATAACACATAGGTCTGGATCCTGTTTTTCAGTAAGTTGTTTATATAGGAACATTAGATTGTAAATTTAGTATTTTGTTTCCTGTCCAGGGAAATTACTGAACAGTAATGTATTTTCTTAACTATGAGTTAATCTCTTGTTGGTTGAAACAAATATCGGGAATTTTTGGTGGAAATTATTTTTAAAGAATCCACTGATAGTTTCATTTTGACCCATTTATGCTTATGTTGGTGAAATTAGAAGTATCAAGGGTTATTTTGTAGGATCTAGCCTTTTAATGAAGTGCCTATAAATGTTTGTATTGAATATGTTTTAAGTTCCTGTCTGTATTGTCTATAACCTTGTTTTTATTATATTGTTAATGAAAATTATAAACATCATAGTTACAGTGTTTGAATTAAAATTTTACTCCACAACGATATAGTCATTTACCAGGGATATCTGATGATTTATTGGCAACTTATAGTAACTTCTGGATTAATGTGTACAATTTACATTTATTGAAGAAGATAAACATGGATTTAAAGGAAAATTGTGTTTGCTATAGTGTTACCTATTTTATCATTCCAGATGCCAGAAATGGAGTCAGGGATATTAAACACCAGATAGTTGCCAGTAAAGTCATGGTAAGTTTTAAATATTGTTTTTCTTCCCTGATCTCCTATCCAAACACATTTCAAGTTTTAATCTTTTTAAAAAGGAAAGGGTCACAAGACATTAACATGTTAAGTTCTGTTTACATTGAAATCCTGTGATACCTAAATGGATACGGAATAACAAAAGTGATAGTTACGAACTTGGTATTTATATTTTAAATTGCATTTACTGAAGAGTATGATTATGTAAATATAAAAATCTTTTTTAGTGAATTTTACAGTATTTTGACTAATAACATCTTAAAATGGCAATGGAATCATCTTTACCAGTGTAATTAAAATGAGAGAAAATTTATAACAGGCTATTGTTTCTTATGTCCAGATCAAAACATACAGGCATGGAGAAAGCATGGAGTTTTGTATGACCATTTAATAATACTGTGTTAGTGTGAATAAAATAAAACCTAACTTGTAAAAACCAGCCATGTTTAGTTTATACTTACTGGGGATATGTTACTTTTGCATGTAGATGACTGTTAATGTGAATTGTAAATAATCCTGTAAGAAAACTGATATATACCTTGTCCTTATTCCCTGCGGTCTGGAGACCGCAGGGTATTGGTACGCGTTTAACTTTTGAAGCATGGAGGAGCACGTGACCTGTTTTCGGTACATGGAGGAGCATGTGATCTGTAAACCGTACATGATTGGTTAATTGACCTTTTCGAAAACCTAGCTAAATACCGTTTGCCGATACGTTACGGATTTACCTTTAGGGAATTAGTCCGATAAAAAACTATTACGTGATATTTCTAATTTTCTATAATATTTTACCGTTTAGGGTGAAAAAACTTGAATGATGTGTTTGAAATTATCAATGTTTCTTTAAATCTATCTCAAATTTTACAAATACTGAAAATCTACAAAATTAAAATATTTGTAGTGGCATCTGCCATAATGAATAGAGATATTTTCTGCGTAAACTTGTGTGTTTACTTTATTTTTTTTGCTCGGAATAATTCATAAAATGGTAGGCCTATTTAATCATTTTTTTAAAAGAAATAATTGTTTTATCTTCGGCCTTCTCTGGTCTTCAACGGTCACCAGTTTCCAAAGACCTTCTTTCTATATTGATCGATTATTGTTAACTATATTCCTGATACAAACGTTTATTTATCCCCCAAACAATGTTGAAAATAGTTAAATGAAATATCTTTATATCATTAAAAACATTCCCCGCAGGAAACATTTTACTTGTTTTGTTATGTTCAAGGGTTATGTGGACTTTTGGAGTTCAAGTGACAATTTAAAGTGCTAATTTGAGAGTGATATTTGTTCAAGAGGAGATAATCTATCACTATGATGAAACTTAAGTTATCTTAAAGATTTCAACAATGGTTTGTCCACCTGTCATATTTTATCATGTCACTTCACTATTGTCTATACTTGCTTCGATTTAATCTAAATAAATATACAAGAGGTTATGTTTGCATATATCTCCAGTATATCTGTTGATTAAAGAGGTTAATATATTCTGTTAGGATTTGAAATACACAAACATATATATTGGAAATGTTTACAAAATGCTTTATTTACCTCTGCTGTAATGTTAGCTTTTTTCATCCGATATATATGCTCATCAAATTTTGGGTGTTAACCGGGCTAGTTAAAGATCCTGTATGTTTTGTAATTGAGATTGCATATGTATGTATGTTAATGCTTAATGAGGGTCCATCCGCCCTTCCGGGCACAAAAAGCAGCTTTCGCTGTGGAGTACGGACCCTTGAGATTGCATACCACTCTTCATTGAATTATATATGTATGTAATTATGCAAATTTGTCAATTTTCAAACATGGAAGAATATGTAAAATATGTATTGCAAATATTGGTACATATTTAAGGTAATAATTAAATTATATGCATTCATTTCTTATTGGAAAAATTGACTTAGAATTTATAGAAAACTAAATTCTAATTACCTCCCTTTATTTACATGAAATATTAAATTCGGTAATATCTTTATAAATAATGTTTTTTGAAACTTACAATATCTATAAATCTTAATTTGAGCATCATAATTTGTATATAAAACCATAAAAATAATGTGTTACAGGATCTTTAATTTGTTGGTGCTATGAACCATATATAAACATGATCATTCTGACTATATTGTTTCTGGCATGCATTGCTTTCTGTTTATTTTACCGTTCAATAACCCTGTCTGGTGTCTGATTAATATATTGATAATGACTGATAACCTATTTGCTGTGTTGTTGCAAGTTTCTACTCATTTATATTATATCAATTTTGACATGAGGTAATTATTTTTTCAAGCTGTTTTAAGTTTTCATGTTCAAACTATTCTAAGTAGTTTCATATCTTATTATCGGAATTTTTTTAATAACAACAAAACACTTCAATAACAACAAAATACATGATCAAGTATGTAGATATACTTTGAAATTATAAATGATCATGCACCATACCTATGTATTTATCTGTATATTTAGGATTTTGTTTACCTTTCTTAGCTCAACTATTCGATAAGAATAAGTAGAGCTGTCCTAGTCGCCTAAGCATCGGCATAACCACTTAATTATGTGAAAGTTTGTATACTACTTCAAATGTTTTCAAAGTCCTTTGACAAATGGCTTTGAAACTTTGCACACTAAGTTGTTTACCATCATGCCCCTAACCTATAGACTAAAGAATTAGTAAGGATTTGCCACAATAACGATTTGCCACAATAATGATTCACCACAGTGTGATAACGATTCGCCACAGTTTAATAATCATTCGTCTCAGTAGGAATATAACAGTTATTGTTTTAATGTGACTGGTCTTAGTTAAATAAACTCAAAGAAAAGGAAATAAACTTTCTGAAAATTAATGTCAATGTTTTTATTTGTAATATAAGGCCTCCATATTTACTACTAAAAAGTGATATGATAAAAGAATTATAGATATCTTATGGCAAACACATTTATTATTTTATAAGGCCACATAACCGCCCATAAATGAATATAGAATTATATGAAAGAAAGATAGTTATGGGCCAGAAATTATACAAAGAAAAATCACAAGAAAAATCAGCATGCCACAGCAGGCCCAGACTCATTGTATATATTTGTAAACAATGGACAGTTCAAATTTCAATGTAGGCGAAACAATTGCACAAATATAGTGAGATAAGTGTTAGCATGTAAGAACACAATATGTACTGTATAAGTGGTTAATTTTGCGATGTAGAAATGTTTGCTAGTTTTGCGAATTGAAAATATTCACAAATATATAATCACACAAAAAATATTATTTCTTTTTTTATGCAAACTTTCCTCTATAATTTGAAAACATGTTTTCATGCAGCATATAAAGTGAATAAATTTGACTGTTAAGGCACTGACGTTTGTTTAAGTTTAACAAATCACAAATGATTTAATGAAACATAATATATGTGTTATTCTAACACGACCCGCATTTTTCCCTATTGAACATAGAATAACAGAAAGTGTGTGTTATTATGCAACAGATGCACAGTTTGACGTTCTATATTTAGACATGTGACGTAATCATTATAAACGTGACGTAACCACTAAAAATCCGACGCCCTAAAAATAAGTACGGAAACAAATCAGGCGCAATTTTGCTTATCTATCAATTACGGCAACACTTATTTGTTGATGTCGTGTTAGAATCGAAATAATATATCCAAATCAGTGGTTTTATCGCTTGATAACATCACTGTTTGTCGTTCTGATGCGCATCATTATATCACTCGGGCTACGCCCTCGTGATATAATTCCTCGCATCCGAACTCCAAACAGTGATGTTATTGAGCGATAAAATCACTGTTTGGGATATATTATTTCTTAAATAACACATTAGTAATCGGAAACACAATAGGCTAGTCATATAACAAAAGCATGTTTCAAAATATCACAAAGACATGTGTCATCAGGTCCTTTTAATATCAAACTTAAAATGTATATTTCAAACAATTATATAAATAATAAAGGTATTAAACAGTTGAATAGAACGATGACAATTACAGCATATTCTTAGCATGTACCTGTTTAATTAATGATATCACAAAAACAGTATTTAATTAAAGAAATCATAATTTTGCAATTAATTTCGCATGCAAAAAGTCCACTTTTTGACATTCGCAAAATTTTTGTGACGCATAAATATCCACTTATGCAGTATATGAATCTTCATGTGACATAGATAAACTATTGTTATTCAAGTAGAATACCCTCAGTGATTTTCAATATATATGTATTATATTCACAAGAGACATATATTATAATTGTTTATATTTATATTCACCATTTATGATGATATTATAATGATTTGTTCATTCATATGAGGATTAAATTTATATTTTGATTTTCTAAGGCATTTTAATGGTAAATATACATGTATGTAGATATTGACAGAATTAGATGAAAATATAATAATTGTCCTTATATTTAGTTGTTAAATAAAATGTATGAAACGGTCAAGTTGTAGGCATGTTTCTCAGTTCTCAATTGTATTTTTTTTTCCCCAAAAATTATCTTCAGAGATAAATTTGTTTATTTAATTTTTGTATTGAACAATATTATACATTATATTTCAGGGGGAGGACAGCACTTGTTTTTGTAGAGGAAAGTCTAGCTGGTGTCAGATTTGGAGTCCACCACCATTTCCCAGGGGGATCTCTGACCAACAGAAGATAGATCTTAACAATTTCATTTATAAAAACATTACAAGAAAAAAAATATACCAACAATACACAAGTAAGTGGATAAAACGAGGCTTTTTCTCAAGATTGTTAATTAGTTTTTAGGGATTTGAATTTAACCTATACTTGCTAAATATCCCTGTAACAATTTTTTATATTTTTATATCATAAATCTGATGCTCAAATGACCTCTACAGTGGACCTCTACAAATTATTTTCAAATCTAAGCCCTCAGGTCAAAATTGGCCCTGGGGAACATAGATTTTTCCCAAGATTGTTTATTAGTTTTGAGGGATTTGATTTTAACTTATACTATGCTAAATATCTTAAATGGACTTGTCCATGCCGTTTATTAACCAGGTTTTCAATTTTGAAAATCCTGGTTATTAGATTGGGGTCTGGGGGGCGGATGGGCGGATGGGCGGGCGGGCGTCAAACGAAATTGTGTCCGCTCTGTAACTCTTCAACCCTTTGAAGAATTTTGATGAAACTTCAGACAAATGTTTACCACATCAAAGATGACGTGCAGAAGCATGTTCCGCATGGCTGGCTCCAAGGTCAAGGTCACAGTGACATTAACATTGAAAATCCTGTCCGCTCTGTAACTCTTCAACCCTTTGAAGAATTTTGATGAAACTTCAGAGACAAATGTTTACCACCATCAAGATGACGTGCAGAACGCATGTTCCGCATGGCTGGCTCCAAGGTCAAGTCACAGTGACATTAACATTGAAAATCCTGTCCGTCTGTAACTCTTCAACCCTTTGAAGAATTTTGATGAAACTTCAGACAAATGTTTACCACATCAAGATGACGTGCAGAACGCATGTTCCGCATGGCTGGCTCCAAGGTCAAGGTCACAGTGACATTAACATTGAAAATCCTGTCCGCTCTGTAACTCTTCAACCCTTTGAAGAATTTTGATGAAACTTCAGACAAATGTTTACCACATCAAGATGACGTGCAGAACGCATGTTCCCGCATGGCTGGCTCCAAGGTCAAGGTCACAGTGACATTAACATTGAAAATCCTGTTTACATGATTTTAACTTGATTTGGCAGTCAAAGGTCATATCATCTTTGGAGGTAATTTAAAAAAGATATGATATATTATTTCATGTCTACTTTGTAACTTGTTTTTCATTATACAGAATTATCAAATATAATTATAGTGAACAAATTCTTCTGTGCTGAACTCGTCCTACATTTCTCAACGGATTTTGTTCAAACTTTCACAGAAGCTTTGTCATCAAGCACCCTGGCACATATTGTCGGGGTTTTGTGATTGGATAGTTTTTGACCTAATTATGGCCCTTTGTTTTTTTCCTTATACATAATATTATAGTGAACACTTCTTCAGTGGCAATTCCTCCTACATTATTCATGTTTTACATTGCACATAGTTACATTGTTTGTTGCTTGTATTTGTATTTCAAATACAACATATTTATCTACAATGGTGATAATTGAAAACCTGGTTTCATGGCATTGCCATGTTTCTTGTTATTATTTAAAGGGGAAATTTCAAAGTAGGTACTGACTGAATAGCAAACAGTACTGACCCAAGATTAGACAATGAAGATGTGTCAGCTAATCTTGTTCTGTACTGGTCACATGGAATCTGTTGTTGACTAAAAAGCTAAGGATTAATTTACTTTGACTGTGCATCAGATACAGAAATTACTCCACTCATTGAGAATAAAATGGTTCTGAAACATGTAGAACGCAATTTAAGAAAAATGAGCTGCAAACAGTGCTGACCAAGATCAGATGGCATAGATATGCCAGTTCATCTTTGTCTGCACAGGTTTCATGTGCAGTATCTGTTGATTCCAGCAGATTGGCAGTTCATTCAGTTCTCATGAGAAAGATTTGTTGATACTTTGATTAGAGTAGCTTCATCTGGTACACATTTGTTCATTATTTCTTGTTTAAGCTTCCACCAACACTCGTTAAGCAATGTTAAATTATGAATAGTATAATACCAAATTGTTGTATTATTATATAAAATAAAATGTTGATTTTGAGAATTTTCTGTAAATATCAAAATACAATACCAGTTAGGTAAGAGAGGAAGAAATGTCAAGTTTTCACTTTCTATATTAACTGCTATTAACAATGTCATTGAGGAAAGAAAACAGACTATTTAAGGACATAAAGTAAGCGTTATAAATCATTGTTTTATGGTGAACTAATAATAAACTATTAGCCTGCTGATTTTTAGCTTGATGATTCAAAGAATAAGTAGAGCTATTGTACTTACCGTGGCAATTCACTGTCTCACTTTGGGTAAATTATTGAGTGAAAGTTGGTATCCAAATCTCCAAAACTTCTTAAGGGAATTTCATACATTTGTTCTCAGTGAATATGTAACATGAAGGGCAGAGGTCTCAAAACTCTTGAGTTACCTTTTAACTCTGAGTTATGCCTCTTTCTCACTGTCAAGCTCAGAAAACAGTCAATTGCAACTTCTTATTGACAGCTCTTGTTTTCTGAATGGGTTTGGCCATTTTCCATGATGAAACTGCTGTTGTGATATCTATTTTAGCGTTATAAACTGTTTAGTCAGTTTTATAGCTTCATATTTATAGCGTTGACATAGCTGTTTCAGTTTCAGCATTGTAAGGGTTTGTTCAATAACATTCATTTTCATTATTTCCTTAACATTTTAGGTGAGTGTAGTGAATGGGCCTATCCCACAATCAAACCTTCAACTTCAGTATCAAGTAAGTATACACAAGTAAAACTTTAATTTCCTATTAATATACAATTGTGAGAAACTAAAACTTACGGTCAGAAGTGTTTCCTCAATTCATTAATCATTACTTCAAGTTTTAGAATTTTTTAAGCAGTATGTTGACCCATAAGTCCTGTCCTGAAATGGTGTTTATCTTAGTACAATGTTTCTACATATTTATTTTTAAGCATGGATTAATAATGTATTGAATTATACATGTATATTATTTAACTATACATGTCAGGTTTTATATTGTTTAATTACTGGTAAAGTCTGTGAACCATATGTTGTGTTGATGTATTAAGATATCCAATATATACAGCATGATGAAAGTATATATAGCAAGATTCTAATGTATGAATCACCAAACACTTAACAAGTACTTAAACATTTGTATTTATGTTATATACTTTATATAATACAGTCAAACATGATGTTAAGACAACCTTCTGAATAGAGATCACCTCTGAATACAGATCACCTGTCACTTCACTGATTATATTTCAATTTTAGCTTTTAATTAAAGCATTTATGCTACAGATTAATTAACTAATAACCTCCTGGAACCAAACGTTATAAGCTTTTACCAACAGTATAGAGCCAATACAGTCTGCACTACTGTACAATCTGGCCTAACTCTATACAGTTAATATCTCAAATTTTTGCACCTTGATATTGTGACCTCTTTGAATGGACTGTTCTAATGTCAAAGCTGGGTCTAATCAAGTAAACACTGTTACTATGACCATCTCATGACCTGTCATCCAAGATTTCTATATGTCTCCTTCAGAGGTTGCCTTCACAGACAAGTTTGACTGTAACTTTTTTGCTGTTTGGACATATATATTGTATAACAATGATTATATAAGTCTATCCCATGGTATATTAGATACATAGAATCAGTAATGCTTTTACTATTTTATTGGCAGTTAAACATATAATACATTTATCTGAAGATCTATGAAAATAGCCTATCAGATCTTTGTTTCACAAACTCAATGGTTTGGTCAGTATAAGGTGATCAATATAATAATGATGGATAATTAAGATGTCAAAACATGAAGTTAAATATGTGCCAGTTCTAATTGCTTTGTTGTTGACTTCATCATTCTGGTATAATAAATTGACATGACACTGACAGGATAAACACTGCATGCACTGATGTTGTTAATGGATACACTATAATCATTATATCAGCATAGGTAAGATCATTCCATGTAGAAATCAATAGGAATTTCAAATATTTGATCGACTTGATATTACTAACCTGAATCCAGGAAGCATAACATAATAACAGACATTCAGCAGGGAGAGTCGAAAGATGACTTCCGGGATGTATAACAGTTCTACTGTGTCATACATATGTATTTATTCATGGCAAAAGATCTTCATATATGTCACAGACTAACTCATCCCATCTAAATGCATTTGATCTTCTGTGGGAGTTATTTATTATTCAACAATTTCCGTCAGTATGGGAGGGGTCTTCTATTACATTAATGTTGCTATATTTTAGTCTCAATGATACATGCACAACTATTTATAGAGTCTTATCTCAGAATTACTTTGTGATGTTCTCAGCAGAACTCTGCAGTACAATATTTGTATTACCTCAACTTGTTTATTTTGTGATATGGACTTGTCCTGATTACATTTGGAAATGTCCATTTTCAGTTTTTGGGATATCAAGATGAAAGTTTTTATCAGTCAGCAGTATGAAGCCATGTCTGACTGCACATAATCGCAGGCTGCAACCTGGCTGTTTACTAGTGGCAAATGGTCACCACAGCCGGTTAATTGGTTTATAATGATCTGTAAGGAGAAACCAACCTGCCTCTAGACATTCAAGTTATACCCTTTAGTCAACATTAACTTTGTTTAAATCATCACTAATAAAAAAAATCTGCCTAACCCACACAAAATACAAACAGTTCACTTCCAAATTGAAACATATATATGTATTAATAATTTAGAACCTGTTTCATTTGAAATACGAGAGCCTTTAATAATTATTCCCAAGTATAGCCATTTGAACTGAAAAATTATGACAAATATTGCACATAGATTTTCCAAAGTTTTTTTTTTTGGGGGGGGGGGGAGAGAAAAGGAAAATGTTTCATCTTGTTCTCAGCTGTTGCAAGGTTTGTTAATAAATATAATAATTTTTTTATGAATATTTTATGAAAACTAGCTTTTAAGTTCACGCTGTCGATTGCTACTGAAAATACAACAATACCAATGTTGGACAATTCAACTCATTCTAAAATTGAGCATGAAACCATACCAGGATTAAGTAGCTTACTGCCACCAACTAATATTAATACAACTTCACCAATAAAAGATGTAAATGGTACAGGTAAAATGCATACTTGAAGTAAAAATGTTGTATTTCTCTTGTACTGTACTAACACTGTATAAATGAAAAAAATTCAGTTTCAAACTTAGTTTTAAAACGGGTAGATGTAGTAAGAAATTTCTAATGTTGCAGGATAGGATAACAATATCTTACATGGGCATGAAACGAAATAAAAATTTCTGCCATCTCCTCTGGGAATAAGCTATTAAAGAATATATAGTGCAATGATACGGAGAAATGCAGTATTCCCCCAGTGTCTGAAGTTTCAAGTGACCTATATTTTACTCAGAGAATGTAAATGTGTGTCATCAATGTGTTATCTTTGTGTGTCCTTTCCTCTTTGTGCTTCACTTCCAGAAACTAGAAACATACCTGTCTCAACAATCACCATCATCATCATATAATGGTTACAACATATTAACAAAATAAAGTTTTCAGTATATCTACAACTGTGTCAGCCTCAGTATCATCTGTATCAGTCACAGTGTTATCATCTGTAATCTCTCCATATCCATCCTGCTGACTTCAACAAGGAGAGTATCAGATTTTCAATCCAGGGCCAGCTGGATCATTCTTCATACAAAACTAAATTTTTCTGTGATAAACAACACTGTTTAATTTGACTGGCAAATCCATTATACAAACCCTGTAATGTTATATGTTAGAAACCTGTAGAATCATGTGTGCTTTGAAGTGCTGTGGGCTTTGAAGATATTATTCCTTTGAGGGTTTTTGTTCGTAAATTTTCTTTTAAATGTCTAATTTTTGGAGGACTGAATTTCTACTTGTAAGAGTATCAACATTAGTTTTGGGACCTACTGAAGTCCCTTATTTAGGTTCAATCTTTATTATGTAACATAAGTTTGCCATCCAGTTTTATTCAGCAGCATATTGGTACTATATGAACTTGTAAATTTATGTCACAAGTACATCAACAGCATGATAAGAATTCTGAAGTAAGAGATTTAAAACTTTGTCAACACTGAATGATGTTTTACTACATGATCACCACAGATTGTTCTATTTCTTACAGCTATACTTATTTCTATTTTACTGCAATTAAAAGCTAGGCCAGATCAGAGATATCTTCATGTTGTGATTTCTCCTTTATACTGACCTTCACCTTTCCATTTATTTATAACTTTCTTACCTTTTTGAAACCTGTAAACTATGTGTATTTTTTATTCTCTGTACTTGTATATTTGCAAATGTTTCTTTCAATATTGTTTTACTTTATAGAAGCTAGTGTGGTTTAATCATAAGTTATTTAACATTAAACTGTATAATATAGGATTATATTTGGACAAGTAAATAGCTAGAGAAACCATATTGTACGAGCTGCCAGGCTAATAGGATTGCTAAAGATGTCTTCGAGTACATTTAATTATATAGATGTACATTTCCGTATTGTACTTGTTTAATGTTTAATAACTTGTTTATTCTATATCCATATTATGTTAAAGAAATGCAGATCGTAATGGTTAGATATTGCAATGCTCTTAGTAAAATTCAGTCAGACAAGCTTTTTTCAATGGCTATTATAACATTGCCATAGCACATAGGTCATAGCACATAAGAATACATTATACAGCATCCAATATGGAAATAATATGGATGGTCACATTGTACAATTTACAAACAGCAATTTGATGTTAATAATTGATATAGAATAGTTACTTATAAATCTTTTTATTTTCTCTCCATACAAAAAATGTTACAAATTACCTTTTTGTACCTTTTAAGTTTGGTAATTATTTTCATTATACATGTATGAATGAATATTTTATACAATATAATTTATGTAAATGATTATATTATGGTTGCATTATGTTTGTATTGTACAGCAGTTACCCAAACTACTACTGCAGTTACAACCCTTAGTTCTGTACTGACAACAACACCAGGTAATAATGCAAACAATTTAATAATTGTCAAACTAAATGTTTGTCGGATTTCCATACTAAATATACTAAATACATATAATTATGGTTTGTTTTACATATGTACATGGTATATATTATATATATGATGTTATTATAATACTTGCACATCTTACATTTGTCAGAATATTAAACAATGTATGGAGCCGCTTTGTCAGAGTCTGTGCTTTGTTTTGACAAATCTATAGGGCTGATTGCTAATATTGTATTACTAGAATGTCTATATTTTATCTTTGTATGAATTAACTTTAAACTACATATATTATATACATTATTTGTATGAAATGTTTGTCATACAGAACTAAAAATTTTATCTGATTTAATATAATACCTGTATCTTTGGCTGGCGAATATATTTGCATGAGCATCAAATAAATCATTTTCTGAAAGTTACATGGCGGTTGATAATTTTTTGAAGGAAATGGATATTTTATTCTAATGTAACATGTAAGGCTGTTACATTTTTCCATAAATCCAGTGTAAACTCAGTCTTGTGGAAATGACAATTTAGAATGAAGTCGCTCACAACAAATGCTTTATTTAGACCTAAATAACGTAACGGACTTGTCCAGGTGCCAAGTAATCAATTTTTGACCTAGATCAAGAGTTCGGACAGTCAACAGTATAGACCAAGCTCTAATACTATATGTTGGTTGGGAAGGCTGTTCATTTTATGTAAGAATTTTACAAACCAGGTTTGAAACACTTGCAACAAGTATATGAGGTTCACATTGTTAGATATGCACAGTGAAATGTATCAACTTTATGTTTATTTGATAGTTGGATACTTACATAATTTCTAAATGATGAAATCTTTTTTGAATTTCATATGTATGAAATATGTATGATATTTACCTAGCCTTAACTATAATGTGGTCATAAAATAAAAAATGTCAGAATATATGTATACATATATTTGTATATATATTGCCATATTTGTATAAAGTTAATATTACAGCTACAATACAACCCACAACGCACATACTAAATGAGGAGAAGGGTAATAAATGCATCCCTGAGGGTTTTTGGTGCAAAATGGTTGTAAATTATATTAAATATCATGAATTTGTTGGTTTATTGGTTAAAATAAATGCCTCTCTAGCTAGTGAAAATGTGGGTGTGATACCTACAAATGTCACAGCCATGTTTTCTCATAGGACACCAGAACTGGTTAGCCTAGACTAGGGAAATGCTTGGAAAGCTCTTTAAAAAGTAACAAGTTTCCTCTTTAATCAGGCAAAAGCAAATAATGTTAAGTTAAATAACAAAGTTGCTACCATTTTGCATCAACACCCATTCTCTGTATAATTATGTCTTATATGATACTTACTATATCTTTACTTACTCAAATTATAAAATTAAACTGAAGTGTTTTTGTACTAGGCCTTCATTCTAAGATGACATAATATAATTTCAGAACTTCTGTATTCTCCTACTGTCAAATATTCTGTGCTAACTTGAAATAATTTACAGCCAAACCTTTCTCAATGGCTGCCTTTAAATATGATGCCACTTGTCTTGTGAAATTTCTTGTCAAAAATTTCATTTGTTCTTCATTATAATTATGTGGTCTATAGAAAGAGGTTTAACTTAGAGGTATTTGATACCTTTACACTGGACCGTAGAAAGAGGTTTAACTTAGAGGTATTTGATACCTTTACAGTGGTCTGTAGAAAGAGGTTTAACTTTGAGGTCTTTGATACCTTTACAGTGGTCTGTAGAAAGAGGTTTAACTTAGAGGTCTTTGATACCTTTACAGTGGTCTGTAGAAAGAGGTTTAACTTAGAGGTATTTGATACCTTTACAGTGGTCTGTAGAAAGAGGTTTAACTTAGAGGTGTTTGATACCTTTACAGTGGTCTGTAGAAAGAGGTTTAACTTAGAGGTATTTGATACCTTTACAGTGGTCTGTAGAAAGAGGTTTAACTTAGAGGTGTTTGATACCTTTACAGTGGTCTGTAGAAAGAGGTTTAACTTAGAGGTATTTGATACCTTTACAGTGGTCTGTAGAAAGAGGTTTAACTTAGAGGTATTTGATACCTTTACAGTGGTCTGTAGAAAGAGGTTTAACTTAGAGGTATTTGATACCTTTACAGTGGACCGTAGAAAGAGGTTTAACTTAGAGGTATTTGATACCTTTACAGTGGTCTGTAGAAAGAGGTTTAACTTAGAGGTGTTTGATACCTTAACAGTGGCATGTAGAAAGAGGTTGAACTTTGAGGTGTTTGATACCTTTACAGTGGTCTGTAGAAAGAGGTTTAACTTGTAGGTATTTGATACCTTTACAGTGGTCTGTAGAAAGAGGTTTAACTTAGAGGTATTTGATACCTTTACAGTGGTCTGTAGAAAGAGGTTTAACTTAGAGGTTTTTGATACCTTTACAGTGGTCTGTAGAAAGAAGTTTAACTTAGAGGTGTTTGATACCTTTACAGTGGTCTGTAGAAAGAGGTTTTACTTAGAGGTATTTGATACCTTTACAGCGGTCTGTAGAAAGAGGTTTAACTTAGAGGTATTTGATACCTTTATAGTGGACTGTAGAAAGAGCTTTAACTTAGAGGTATTTGATACCTATACAGTGGTCTGTAGAAAGAGGTTTAACTTAGAGGTATTTGATACCTATACAGTGGACTGTAGAAAGAGGTTTAACTTAGAGGTCTTTGATACCTTTACAGTGGTCTGTAGAAAGAGGTTTCACTTAGAGGTCTTTGATACCTTTACAGTGGTCTGTAGAAAGAGGTTTAACTTAGAGGTCTTTGATACCTTTACAGTGGTCTGTAGAAAGAGGTTTAACTTAGAGGTGTTTGATACCTTTACAGCGGACTGTAGAAAGAGGTTTAACTTAGAGGTGTTTGATACCTTTACAGTGGTCTTTAGAAAGAGGTTTAACTTAGAGGTGTTTGATACCTTTACAGTGGACTGTAGAAAAAGGTTTAACTTGAAGGTATTTGATACCTTTACAGTGGTCTGTAGAAAGAGGTTTAACTTAGAGGTGTTTGATACCTTTACAATGGTCTGTAGAAAGAGGTTGAACTTAGAGGTATTTGATACCTTTACAGTGGTCTGTAGAAAGAGGTTTAACTTAGAGATGTTTGATACCTTTACAGTGGTCTGTAGAAAGAGGTTTAACTTAGAGGTGTTTGATACCTTTACAGCGGACTGTAGAAAGAGGTTTAACTTAGAGGTGTTTGATACCTTTACAGCGGTCTGTAGAAAGAGGTTTAACTTAGAGGTGTTTGATACCTTTACAGCGGACTGTAGAAAGAGGTTTAACTTAGAGGTGTTTGATACCTTTACAGCGGACTGTAGAAAGAGGTTTAACTTAGAGGTCTTTGATACCTTTACAGTGGTCTGTAGAAAGGGGTTTAACTTAGAGGTATTTGATACCTTTACAGCGGTCTGTAGAAAGAGGTTAAACTTAGAGATGTTTGATACCTTTATAGTGGACTGTAGTAGAAAAGGTTTAACTTAGAGATGTTTTGATACCTTTACAGTGGACCATAGAAAGAGGTTTAACTTAGAGGTATTTGATACCTTTACAGTGGTCTGTAGAAAGAGGTTTAACTTGAAGGTATTTGATACCTTTACAGCGGACTGTAGAAAGAGGTTAAACTTAGAGGTATTTGATACCTTTACAGTGGACCGTAGAAAGAGGTTTAACTTAGAGGTATTTGATACCTTTACAATGGTCTGTAGAAAGAGGTTTAACTTAGAGGTATTTGATACCTTTACAGTGGTCTGTAGAAAGAGGTTTAACTTAGAGGTATTTGATACCTTTACAGTGGTCTGTAGAAAGAGGTTTAACTTTGAGGTGTTTGATACCTTTACAGTGGTCTGTAGAAAGAGGTTTAACTTAGAGGTATTTGATACCTTTACAGTGGACTGTAGAAAGAGGTTTAACTTAGAGGTATTTGATACCTTTACAGTGGTCTGTAGAAAGAGGTTTAACTTAGAGGTATTTGATACCTTTACAGCGGTCTTTAGAAAGAGGTTTAACTTAGAGATGTTTGATACCTTTACAGTGGACCGTAGAAAGAGGTTTAACTTAGAGGTATTTGATACCTTTACAGTGGTCTGTAGAAAGAGGTTTAACTTGAAGGTATTTGATACCTTTACAGTGGACTGTAGAAAGAGGTTTAACTTAGAGGTATTTGATACCTTTACAGTGGTCTGTAGAAAGAGGTTTAACTTAGAGGTATTTGATACCTTTACAGCGGTCTGTAGAAAGAGGTTTAACTTGAAGGTATTTGATACCTTTACAGTGGTCTGTAGAAAGAAGTTTAACTTGAAGGTATTTGATACCTTTACAGTGGTCTGTAGAAAGAGGTTGAACTGAGAGGTGTTTGATACCTTTACAGTGGTCTGTAGAAAGAGGTTTAACTTAGAGGTGTTTGATACCTTTACAGTGGCCTCTAGAAAGAGGTTTAACTTAGAGGTATTTGATACCTTTACAGTGGTCTGTAGAAAGAGGTTTAACTTAGAGGTGTTTGATACCTTTACAGTGGACTGTAGAAAGAGGTTTAACTTAGAGGTATTTGATACCTTTACAGTGGTCTGTAAGAAAGAGGTTTAACTTAGAGGTGTTTGATACCTTTACAGTGGTCTGTAGAAAGAGGTTTAACTTAGAGGTCTTTGATACCTTTACAGCGGTCTGTAGAAAGAGGTTTAACTTAGAGGTATTTGATACCTTTATAGTGGACTGTAGAAAGAGCTTTAACTTAGAGGTATTTGATACCTATACAGTGGTCTGTAGAAAGAGGTTTAACTTGGAGGTATTTGATACCTTTACAGTGGACTGTAGAAAGAGGTTTAACTTAGAGGTCTTTGATACCTTTACAGTGGTCTGTAGAAAGAGGTTTAACTTAGAGGTCTTTGATACCTTTACAGTGGTCTGTAGAAAGAGGTTTAACTTAGAGGTGTTTGATACCTTTACAGCGGACTGTAGAAAGAGGTTTAACTTAGAGGTGTTTGATACCTTTACAGTGGTCTTTAGAAAGAGGTTTAACTTAGAGGTGTTTGATACCTTTACAGTGGACCGTAGAAAAAGGTTTAACTTGAAGGTATTTGATACCTTTACAGTGGTCTGTAGAAAGAGGTTTAACTTAGAGGTGTTTGATACCTTTACAATGGTCTGTAGAAAGAGGTTGAACTTAGAGGTATTTGATACCTTTACAGTGGTCTGTAGAAAGAGGTTTAACTTAGAGATGTTTGATACCTTTACAGTGGTCTGTAGAAAGAGGTTTAACTTAGAGGTGTTTGATACCTTTACAGCGGACTGTAGAAAGAGGTTTAACTTAGAGGTGTTTGATACCTTTACAGCGGTCTGTAGAAAGAGGTTTAACTTAGAGGTGTTTGATACCTTTACAGCGGACTGTAGAAAAGAGGTTTAACTTAGAGGTGTTTGATACCTTTACAGCGGACTGTAGAAAGAGGTTTAACTTAGAGGTCTTTGATACCTTTACAGTGGTCTGTAGAAAGGGGTTTAACTTAGAGGTATTTGATACCTTTACAGCGGTCTGTAGAAAGAGGTTAAACTTAGAGATGTTTGATACCTTTATAGTGGACTGTAGAAAAAGGTTTAACTTAGAGATGTTTGATACCTTTACAGTGGACCATAGAAAGAGGTTTAACTTAGAGGTATTTAATACCTTTACAGTGGTCTGTAGAAAGAGGTTTAACTTGAAGGTATTTGATACCTTTACAGCGGACTGTAGAAAGAGGTTTAACTTAGAGGTATTTGATACCTTTTACAGTGGACCGTAGAAAGAGGTTTAACTTAGAGGTATTTGATACCTTTACAGTGGTCTGTAGAAAGAGGTTTAACTTTGAGGTGTTTGATACCTTTACAGTGGGCTGTAGAAAGAGGTTTAACTTAGAGGTAGTTTTGATACCTTTACAGTGGACTGTAGAAAGAGGTTTAACTTTTGAGGTATTTGATACCTTTACAGTGGTCTGTAGAAAGAGGTTTAACTTAGAGGTATTTGATACCTTTACAGCGGTCTTT